ATCGTCCCTTTTTACTGTGTCCTCTTCTCTGCAGGTACTCTGCAAATGCTGTTCTTTGTGGGGTCCTCTCTGACCACTGCCAGTCTGGTGAGAACCTTGGGAGTTAGTTAGCTCTATGAGGCAGGATCTGCCAGACTTGAAGCTGGGCTGTGTCTTCTTTAAGCAGGGAGCCAATTGGCTGGCTTTTGGCAGAAGTATCCACATATTCCTGTTGCATGTGACAATTGGTAACAGTTCCTCCCTCCCTCCCTTCCCTCCCTCCCTCCCTCCCTCCCTCCCTTCCCTTCCTCCCTCCCTCCCACCCTCCCTTCCTTCCTTTCTTCCTTCCTTCCTTCCTTCCTTCCTTCCTTCCTTCCTTTCCTTCTGTCTTTGTTTCCTTCCTTCCTTCCTTCCTTTTTTCTTTCTTTCTTTCTCTCTCTCTCTCTCTTTCTTTCTTTCTGTCTGTCTGTCTGTCTTTCCTCTTTCTTGTATGTGCCAGTCAGTAGCAGGGTTTAAACTCAGAGCATCACACTCTCACTCTGCTTTCTTGCTCATGGCTGGTACTCTCCCACTTGAACTATACCTCCAGCTCAGCATTTTGCTGGTTATTCCAGAGACAGAGTCTCATAGACTTTTGTACCCAGGTTGGCTTTGAAATTTGTTCTTTTAGATCCCAGCTTTCTGTATAGCTAGGGTTTCAAGAGTGAGTCACCAATGCCTGGTTAAATCCTAAATGAAAAAGAAGTCTGTTTTCGGTAACATGGCAAACAGAAAACCTTAAAATTCCAGAACAAGATGGAAATACTGAATGAAGTAATACTGATCTATCTGAAATTGGCAGAGAGCCACACGTTTCATAGTGCTCTGCGTTGGAGGAAACAGCCCTAAATCATAGTCACCCAAGAGGAAAGTGGGGTGGGCACAGGGATATTCATCACAGCACCGCTTGTTACCACAAAATGTTAGCCATGCTCCAGCGTCTGATACTAGGACTTGGCCAGCACTTAGAAGGTACCTCATGCCCAATGGCTGTCCAAGATGATGATGAGCCCCCTTTAATCCCCCCTCTAAATGGCCATGAGCACTTCAGTTAGAGCTTAAAAGCACAACTCTGATCATATTCATCCTGGATAAAAACCATGCATGATTCCCAGCACCGTACAAATAAACCCCCAAATATGCCATTTGTCTGTCCCCAGAATCTGTTCCCAGGTGACTGCTACCTCAGTCCCTAGCTCTACTTCTGCTCGTCAGTCTCACCAGCCCCTTCTGTACCCACACTGACCCTGATCTGCAGACTCATTGCCAGGCCCTTGCCAATGCCATTCCCTGTGCTGGAATCCCACCCCAACACCTTTCCCCAGTTAACTCACCATTATATTGCAAAGTTGTGCCTTACCTTGTGTCTCCAAGTCTGGGTGAGGGGAGCTCTGGGCTGCTCTATACCAAGCATAGGCCTGAAGGAGGGGCAGCAGCCAGCTTGCTCATTGGCACACAGCCTCTAAATTCCTGGGGCAGGATCCTGCCAAAAGACATAGCTACAAACTGGATGCCAGTGGCTTTCACCTGTAATCCTAGCTACTTGGAAAGTCCATGATACTCTTATCTCCAATGAACCAGCAAAAAACAAAACAAAAAAGGCGGGGGGGCTGGGAATGTGGCTTAGTGGTATTGGTAGTATGCTTGCCTAGCATGCATAAAGCCTTGGGTTCAATTCCTCAATACCACATAAACAGAAAAAGCTGGAAGTGACACTGTGGCTCAAGTGGTAGTGCCCAGGCCCTGAGTTTAAGCACCAGGACTGGCAAAAAAAAAAAAAAAAGTTGGGCGTCGGTGGCTCATGCCTGAAATCCTAGGTATTCAAGTGGCTGAGATTTGAGGATTGAGGTTTGAAGCCAGCCTTGGCAGGAAAGTCCTTGAGACTATCTCCAGTTAACTACCAGAAAACCGGAAGTGGTACTGTGACTTAAGTGGTACAGTGCTAGCCTTGAGCCGAAGAGCTCAGGGTCAGCGCCCAGGTCCTGAGTTCAAGCCCCACAACTGACACAAAAAAAAAGCCAGAATGCCAGCCTTCAGTGAAAAAAGCCAAGTGAGAAGGCAAAGCCTTGAGTTCAAGCTCTAGTACTGGGGGGCAGGAAGGGAAACATAACTACAACCAATTTAGTTTAAAGACCAAACTATCGGGGCTGGGAAGGTGGCTCAGTGGTAGAGCGCTTGCCTTGCATGCATGGGGCCCTGGGTTCGATTCCTCAGCACCACATAAGCAGAAAAAGCTGGAAGTGCGGAAGTGGCGCTGTAGCTCAAGTGGTAGAGCGCTCGCCTTGAGCTGAAGAGCTGAGGGACAGTGCCCAGGCCCAGAGTTCAAGCCCCACGACCGACAAAAAAAAAAAAAAGCTGGAAGTGGCGCTGTGGCTCAAGTGTTAGAGTGCTAGCCTTAAGCTGAAGAGCTGAGGGACAGCGCCCAGGCCCAGAGTTCAAACTTAGGACCAAAAAAAAAAAAAAAAAAAAGACCAAATTGTCTTTTTATTTGAAATTGTACAAGTGGGCATACTTCCTTCTTAAAACATAGAATGAGTGTTTCAATGTGCAAAGTAGGCCTCCTCAAACTATTGGTTCTGGCTGTGACTCTTTTTTTTTGGGGGGGGGGGGGTCCGGTTGTGGGGCCTGAACTCTGGGTCTGGGCGCTGTCCCTCAGCTCTTCAGCTCAAGGCTAGTGCTCTACCACTGGAGCCACAGCGCCACTTCTGGCTTTTTTCCCCCTGCTTATGTGGTGCTGAGGAATGGAACCCAGGGCCCCATGCATGCAAGGCAAGCGCTTTAACCGCTGAGCCACCTTCCCAGCCCCTGGCTCTGGCTCTTGTCCCACTTCCCTAAGACTTATTCCTGTACCTGAAGATCTGACCCCTGGGCCTAGCATCATCTGGCCCCTGTTGTCACTCAATGGGGCCTGGCCCAGACCCAGGCTTGGTGAAGGCCAGGGAAAGAATGTCAAGGGCCACTGGTTATGGAGACTACTGTTCCTTGGGGTCAGGCTAAAGATCCAGGCATGAAGGCAGCCAATGTTGGCATGAATGCCAAGGCAGCTGGAGGTTTGGTAGCCCCTGTCCAGCTTGCCACACCTGTCAGTATCAAAGACTGAGCACCAGTACGAAGACTTCCTGAGCCTGGCAGAGTATTGTCCTTGGGGACTGAGGACAATGTCAAAAGAGGGTGTATATATCTCAGTGTGATGCTCTTACTTTGAGCTTTAGAAACTGTACTCCAGGTAGGCTGTTTATCTCTGCCAGAAATGTCTGCTTATCCCCAGGCCTTCGTTGGCTACCTCATGTTTCTCCTTCAGCTGTGGCTTATGGCCTTTCCAGCCACCTGGCTCTGAGCAAGCTGCCTTTGCCTGGTCCTCCAGCTTCTCCCTTATCAGAAAGCTCACCCCAGTACTTGCATGTTCACCTTCATGTGGTAGACATAAAGTACCAAGAGTTCATCAGTGTATTCATCCTAAATGAATGAATGACTTGCCAGAATAAATTTGATTGAAAGAAATAATGTGACATATACCTAGAAACTATGAAGCAGTTGAAACCTGCTTTTTTTTTTCCTCTAGGGTGGAGGTGTGTAGGCACAGGGGCTTGAACTTAAGGCATCGCTTTGCACACTCACTTGATTTGGCTTTTTTGCTCAAAGATGGAATTCTACCACTTGGGCCACAGCTCCATTCCTGTCTTTTTTTTGGTGGCTGACTGAAGATAAGAGTCTCACAGACTTTCCTGTTCAAGCTGACTTTGAACCAGGATCCTAAGATCTCAGCTTCCTGAATAGCTAGAATTACAGGTATAAGCCATAGACACTCAGCCACACATAACTCTTTATATCGGCCATTGGGATCTCTCGGAGCTCAGAGAAGGGGTAGAGTGAAGTATTCAGGCCCCCTGCTCAGAACTGAGCCCAGACCAGCCATGCTACCGACCATAAGTTAGATTCCCAGGCCACAAGCGCCAGAGGGCCAGCCATGTCTAGTCAGGAAGGAGAGTTAAGGAGGGCCCCACAAGATCTGGCACCTGAACAAGGCAGGAGATGGGGTGAAGAGGAATGCCGAGAGCTAGTGGAGGGAACTCCAGACAGAGGTGCAGAGGCAGGGCAGGCTGAGGTGAGGGGAAAGGTTAATGAGGAATGATGGGGCCTGGGAAGGCAGGCCAGGTAGTTTGAGTTATTATCAATGATGCTGGGGAACCATGGAAGGTGTTTGAGTAGCCTAGGGTCAACAGGGGTGGGAGCAGGGATGCTGGCTGTGCAGTGGACAGCAGAGGGGAGGAGTCCAGTCCAGAGATGGTGGAGAAGGTCCAGAGAGGGATCTTCACAATCTTGCATTGGAACAAATGCCAGGGGTAGGGAAAGACACCAAGAGACACACAGAGCCAAGCAAGGCAGCAGATGGGACAGGAAGCAGCTGCGTAACTAGAGGAGGGCGACAGATACCGGGCTACATGCAGCATGGGGCTATCATGCAGCCTGTCCATAGTAGGTACTCAGGCAGAGGAGGTCATACAAGTGAATGGACCAGTTAGCCTCCCTGTCTCTAGGTCTGCTTGGGTTGTCTTCTCCCCTGGTTTCGTTGGCCCCCTTCTCTTTGCCCTGTGGGCTCTGACGGACCCCACTAGCTCAGGAGGGGTGGTGTCAGCCCATGGTCCCCACCCAGAGCCCTTTCCTGCTATGTGGGTACACCCACAGGGCTTCCCTCTCTCCGTCCCCCTCCCCCTCCCTGTCCTTATCTTTCCCTCCCGTCTCCATGGCGACTCACCACCTCAGCGTGCCTGCATCCCAGCTTCTGCCAGGGATTCAGAGCTGGGCTCTGTCCCTCCCTCTTCTGGAGCCCTGGTACCCGCAGCCCTGTCTCCTCCCCCTGGGGTGAGTCCAGCAGCAGCCTCCTCTTTCCCGACCTAGCCGGCACATTTATTCTCCAGCTCTGACAGGGAGTCAGCTCTTGAGGAGAAACCATCCCCCAGCCCCACCCTTCACCTGCCAGCTCGGCCAGCCCTCCAGGAGGAAGTCGCGGTGGCCTCCGCTCTCCGCTCTCCGCAGCAGACCCTCTCCCATCCCAGCCTCTCATGCCGAGACCCGCCTTGTCTGTCACTTCCTTTTGTCATCGGCTTGGCAAACGGGCAAGTCTTCAGTCCTAAGATCTGGGGAGGAAGTGGGGGGTGATGGGGGGGGGGGGGAGAGAAGGAGCTACCTGGGATGGGGGATGGGCCTTGGGAGGGTGGGGGAAGGGCTCTCAAAACCCAGGCTGAAGACAGGAGTCTAGAGTCTGTTCTAGATTTTATTTATTTATTTATTATCTTCAAGGAGAGAAAATGGAGCTTCATGGGAAACAGCAGCAACAGTTGGTGAGCAGCGGAAGGGGCCTGCCGGGCTGGGATTGGTGCAGTGGAGCTGGCAGGTCAGCTGGAAAGGCTGGTCTGGGAGCACGGACTCCTGCGGCTGTGGGGCGGTGGCCAAGGCTCAGAAAGGCTCTCCGAAGGAGAGGAAGTTCAAGGCCCGATCAAGCAGGCTGTGTAGGGGGATGGAGTGGGTGCTTCTGAGAGACAGATGCTCTGAGCTGAGCTGAAGGAATCCTCCAAGAACTGAAGCCATCTGCTCAGATACAGAATGGATGCCCAGGCACCAGGTGGCGGCCACCCTTTCCTGACTGTCCCAGCAGGAAGGGGATGTAGACTTGAGGGACCCCTGCTATCAAAGGGCTGGGGACAGGATTTTCCTGAACACTGGGCACTGGGCTGATGAGGCTGCATGTACATCATCCTGGAAGATGGCCCATGCCCAGACCAGCCATTCTATCCATTGGGACAGGATCTGGGGTTCTGGCAGGGAATGGGTCTTGCTTGGGTTGTATGACTGAGGTGGAAGATCTAGGTTTACTTTCACTGTTCTGCTACCCGCCCTCCTACCACCCACACTCTGGGCTGCCAGGACCTGGGGTTCAAGGAAATGAGGAATGGATAAAGTTCAGTCCCTTTGGGAACTGCTTTGTCCAGCGACGGAAGGGCCAAGGAAAGCTGGGAAGGTCTGGGATGGCCTCCAAATCTGAGACCCAATAGATATCCTGCTTTGTCCTGTTGGGGAGGGTGTGCCAGTAATTGGGCTTTAAGTCAGGGCCTGGGCGCTGTCCTTTGGCTTTTTTCCATTCAAGGCTGGTGCTCTACCACTTGAGCCACAGCTCCACGTCAGCTTTTTGCTGGCTAATTAGAGATGAGAGTTTCATGGACTTTCCTGCTTAGGCTAGCTTTGATCCTTGATCCTCAGATCTCAGCCTCTTGAGTAACAAGGATAACATCCTAATTTCCAATGGTTTTTCTTGCCCTTCACCCTCAGGTCCCATGCACCATTCCCCAAGCTGGAGCTGGGCCTGGGGCCCCGTCCCACAGCACCCCGGGAACCACCCACTTGCTCCATCTGTCTGGAAAGGCTTCGAGAGCCCATCTCACTGGACTGTGGCCATGACTTTTGCATCCGGTGCTTCAGCACACACCGCATCCACGGCTGCGAGCCACCCTGCTGTCCTGAGTGCCGGAAAATCTGCAAGCAGAAGAAAGGCCTCCGAAGCCTCGGGGAGAAGATGAAGCTCCTGCCTCAGCGGCCACTACCCCCTGTACTGCAGGTGTGGGAACCCGGCCTCATTTCAGGGTAGTGGGGTGCTGGGGTACTCCAAGATCTCTGGTCAGATCCTCACAGAGGGAGGGCAGGTCGTAGCTTTGGCCTTATTCTAGAATGTCAGGGCAGGCACGCAGTTCCAGGCTGGACACACTGCAGACTTGGAGTTCCATTGGGAGGCTCATGGAACCCTGCTCTGTCCTGCCCAGGAGGTGTGTGCGGTGAGGGCCGAACGGCTGCTGCTGGTACGGATCAATGCCTCTGGCGGCCTCATCCTCAGGATGGGAGCCATCAACCGCTGCCTGAAGCACCCGCTGGCCAGGGACACCCCAGTCTGCCTCCTCGCCGTCCTGGGGGAGCAGCATTCAGGGAAGTCCTTCCTCCTCGACCACTTGCTCCGGGGCTTGCCTGGCCTGGTGAGGGTGGGGCTGGCAGGAGGCTGTCGGGGATCGAGACAGGAGCCCCAAGTTTGGCTCTGGTTTGGGGAGAGGAGTCTGGAGCCTGGTCTATGGGGAAGGGGCATGAACCAGTGGATGCTCTTTCTCTCCCTGCAGGAGTCTGGTGAGGGCAACTGGCCCAAAGGAGGAGAAGGGTCCTTGCAGGGGTACAGGTGGGGTGCCAATGGGCTCACCAGGGGCATTTGGATGTGGAGCCACCCTTTCCTGCTGGGGAAAGAAGGGAAGAAGGTAAGGGAGAAAGGGCAGAAGAAGTGGGAGAAACAGAAATAGAGGAAGAGGAGGGGATCAGATCTTCAGGTGCCAGGTGCCGGTGATGCATGCCTATAATCCTAGCTACTCAGTAGGCTGAGATCTGAGGATCGCCGTTCGAAGCCAGCCTAGGCAGGAAAATCTGTGAGATTCTTATCTCCAATAAACTCAGAAAAACCAGAAGTGGCACTGTGGCTCAAGTGGTAGAGCACTACTAGCCTTGAGCAAAAGACAGAGCCCAGGCCCAGAGTTCAAGCCCTAGGACCAGGAGAGAGAGAGAGAGAGAGAGAGATATTTAGGGGTGACAAGAGGAAGAATGTGGTAAAGAAAGGTAAACCTTCCGGGTGCTGGTGGCTCACGCCTGTAATCCTAGCTACTTAGGAGGCTGAGATCTGAGGATCGCGGTTCAAAGCCAGCCCGGGCAGGAGAGACCGTGAGACTCCTATCTCCAATAAACCACCAGAAAACCGGAAGTGGCGCTGTAGCTCAAGTGGTAGAGCGCTCGCCTTGAGCTGAAGAGCTGAGGGACAGCGCCCAGGCCCAGGGTTCAAGCCCCACGACCGACAAAAAAAAAAAAGAGAGGTAAGCCTGCCCTGAGTCTCATCCCCCTGCCCTCTGCATAGGTGGCTGTGTTCCTGGTGGACACAGGGGACACCATGAGCCCGGAACTGAGCAGAGAGACAAGGATCAAGCTGTGTGCTCTCACCATGATGCTGAGCTCCTACCAGGTGCAAGAGGCCCCAGACTAAGCACACCCATCCCACGTGCCCTTCTCCAGCTCAACTTCCTCCAGGCTGGGGACATCTCAAAGGCTTTGGTGAAATGGGCTTGCTGCAGGTTTTGGGGGTACCAATGTAAAGGGAAAAGATCTCCCAGTCAGTGAAGGTGGGAAGATAGGTTGTTCTGGAAATGTATTATATTTTCTAAGGGCAGTGGAGGCCCATAGAGGGCCCCACAGGGGCTTCCTAGGCCTGACTGGTCATGAGTGTAGTCCTTCTGGCCCCAGAGGCCTTGGGGCTGGGCCTAGCCTTGTTCTCAGTCTCACAGATTTCTGGGAGCCCTGGGTCTTCCCAACACATGGCATTGGTCTTGCAGCCATTAGCATCCTCTTCTCATTGGTTCTAGATCCTGAACACCTCCCAGGAGTTGAAGGACACAGACCTGGGCTATCTGGAGGTAAGATGTCCTCTGATGCTTGAGCATCACCCAGAAGGCCAGGAGGGCATTTTGGCTTAGAATTTTGTGCCACTTGCACTGGTAGGTGGGTGGGTTTGAGGGCAGAGGGTAAATAAAGCATGAGGTGCCCGGTTCAGGGAGAGGCAGGAGAATGAATCAAAGCCCTTGGAGCACAGCCCCGATTTTCTCTATGCCTATCCCCAGATGTTTGTTCATGTGGCTGAGGTGATGGGCAAGCATTATGGGATGGTACCGATCCAGGTAAGACACCTGTTCCCTCACTTGTCCACCCTGACCTTCACACCCTCCCCCTGCCAGCTACTAGGGTTAGAACCTCTTCTCTTCCAGCACCTGGACCTCTTAGTTCGTGACTCATCCCATTCCAGCAAGACAGGGCAGGGGCACGTGGGTGACATCCTCCCGGTGAGCAATGCAGAGAGAGGGGGAGGAGCAGAACAGGTGATGGGGGAGGGGTGGCAGGGGAGAGAGGGTCTGGAACAGGGATTCCCAGAGGGAGGTGGCTCCTCTGGCTTAGAGCTCCTTGCAATCCATCTTTCAGAAGTTGTCCAGCAAATACCCCAAGGTCCAGGAGCTGCTCCTAGGGAAACGAGCCCGCTGCTACCTGCTGCCTGCTTCCGGGAGGCAATGGCTGAACAAAGGCTCAGGAAGCCCAGGAGGGGGTGAGTGTCCTCAGGGGCCAAGATTTCTGGGAATTGCTCCTCACAGCTTCCCTAAAGCCCCCTAGGGGTACCCAATGTCAGCCAGGCTTGGTCTCCTCAGCCTGAAGAATCTCTTTCTTAGATGCAGAAGATGAATTTGGTCAACTTCTCCGGGCCTACGTGTCAGATGTGCTGAACACAGTCCCTCAACATGCTAAGAGCCGCTGCCAGGGGTATTGGAGTGAGGGGCGCACCGTGGCCAGGGGGGACAGACGCCTGCTCACAGGGCAACAGCTAGCTCAAGAGATCAAGGTGTGAAAACTCCCTGGAAACCCCAGCACCCAGCAGGTCCCTGCTTTCCCTGACCAGGCCGTGCTATCTCTGCAGAACCTGTCAGGCTGGATGGGGAGGACAGGACCTGGTTTCAGCTCTCCAGATGAGGTACAGAGCCCCCCTCCACCCTCCCCTGGAAGGATGGGGTCTGGGGGTGGGATGGGAGCCTGTGCACCCTGGGAGTGGAGATGAGGAGCAGGCAGCAGCCCTGGCCGAGGAGGAAGGAGGGAGGCAGCCTGGGCTTTCCCGTGGACAGATGGCCGCTCAGCTGCATGACCTGAGGAAGGTGGAGGCTGCCAAGAAGGAATTTGAGGAGTTTGTGAGGCAGCAGGTGAGCCCCAGGATCTGCTGGGGGGGGGGGGCAGGATCCGGCCAGGTGGGGCCCATCCCAAGGAGGGGTCGCCTGGGGTCTCCTGGCCAGCTTACCTTCTTTTTTCCTCCTCGATGTCATCCAGGACATAGCCACCAAGCGCATCTTCTCTGCACTCCGGGTCCTGCCCGACACCATGAGGACCCTCCTGTCCACCCAGAAGGATGCCATCTTGGCCCGCCACGGTGTGACCTTGCTGTGCAAGGAGCGAGAGCAGACCTTGGAGGCCCTGGAGGCCGAGCTGCAGACCAAGGCCAAGGCCTTCATGGACTCCTACACTATGCGCTTCTGTGGCCACCTTGCTGCTGTGGGGGGAGCGGTGGGGGCCGGGCTCATGGGCCTGGCAGGGGGTGTGGTGGGGGCTGGTATGGCAGCAGCCGCGCTAGCTGCCGAAGCTGGGATGGTGGCAGCGGGGGCAGCAGTGGGGGCCACTGGGGCTGCTGTGGTCGGGGGTGGTGTGGGGGCTGGGCTGGCTGCCACTGTGGGATGCATGGAAAAAGAGGAGGATGAGCGGGTGCAGGGAGGGGACCGAGAACCCCTTCTCCAGGAAGAGTAAGCCAGGAGGCCTTAAAGGGTGAGATGCGCAAGGTGAAAGGGGTTGGAGGGGCCCACACGTACCCCATTGTGCCCACTGAAGGCCTAGAGCCTGGCAGTTGGCTGAGCCTGGGACTCAACGCGGCTCTAGGAACCAGGACCAGGAGGCATGGAAGAGAGCACAGGACCTATTTCTGAGTAGAGATGATTGCTAATCTGCCATCATCCCAGATGAACTTGACCCCAGGGTCTCCCCCACTTCCAGTTTATTTTCCATGATGACCCTGGGTTGGAGGCAGTGCCTTCCTAGAAGTCTCCTCGATTGTGGAGAACCCTGTGATTTCACAGATGGAAGAGGCCCCAGCATGACTGACCTTTGTGTTCAGGACCAGGGGAACTTGACAAGGGCTAAGACACAGGGCAGAGCCAAAGAGATAGGGGTAGGACAGCCAGTAGCTTGTCCCCAGGACTCTTCCCAAAGCTACCTATCCTCCAGCAGGACTGAACTGCCTGCCCCGCCCCCAAGTCCTCCCCCACAGGCCTCCAGGCTCCTGATTTCCATCAGGCAGAGGGAGGAGCACCTATGGTCTTTGCAGAATGCCCTCACCCAGCAGATTAAAAGCCAAAGAATCGCCCTTTGATTGCATCCTGAGCTAAGCCAGTCTATAGCAAATCCAATCAAAGTCTTAAAAAGGAAAACACGGTGAGGATATTTGATCCTTACCTCCCTTGTCCCCCAAGCTTGTGAGACTACTCTGCCATCTTAGAAGACCTCCTCCTTGATGGAGCTCCCTGAATGCCAGCCCTCATGGAGCCCTTAGGGGCAGGGAGCCGCTCAGGGCAGAGAAGGGGAGAGATGGAATAATTCTGGGCTATTAAACTATAAAAGATGCTGGGCACATGACCCTTTTGTTTTATGGCTAATAAAATGTATGTGTACGCGAACGTCAGCTTTCTGGTACATTACTGAAACAGCCCTCGAAGGGCTTTAGGATGGGAGGAGGTGACAAAGAGTTCCACCGTTATTAGGATTGGTGGATGGGAAGAAGGAGACAGGAAATTCATAAGTGAGGTGGGGCATATCAGAGGGCACTGAGGCAGGAGGGCTCAGGCCAAAGCCAAGTACATTGCTACCTTCTTAGGCCAGTCCCCTAGGATTCTGGGCCCAGTGCTCGTCTCCTCTGAGGCATGGTCTCTGATGGCCCTGTCTATAGGTAGTCAATTGGCACTTGTCCCTGCAGAGGACAGAATGGTGGGGACCTCGGTAAGACCTTGGAGGAAGGAGGCTCCATTGTCGGACTTAGCCAGCCAGGAACTCACATTTCTGATTCCCCTCCCAGACTCTGTCCCTCCACCTATGAATTACAACAGCACTCACTACATTCAAACCCTGATCTTTATACATCAAACCCAGAGAGGTGAGGTCTTGAATAAGGCTGACCAATGGAGACACAGGGGAGTCTGGAAGTCCAGCCTGGCTCTCCTCCAGACATCAAAGGATGTGTTGTGCTGTGCTGTATCAATCAGGTCCAGCTCTGGGAAACCGTTGGAGCGGCAGAAGCAGAGGACATGGTCTGGGGACAGATGGCTTAGAAGAGTTATAATTAACAGACAGAAATACCTAATGTAGGAAATCCCAAAGCTAGGGTGGGGATGGGTGGGGCAAAGACAGATCAGAGTGACTGTTTTTTTGGAAACTATGCCTCAGGTGGGGACAAGGTCTGCACTATGTGTAATGTTTTTAGATAAAGGCTTTCTGGAAGCATCGGAGTACTTCCCTCATATCTGGTTAGACATGTGTGTCTTCAAAGCATTTCCCCCTACCTCCCAGCATCATCTTTCTTAAGTCTCATACATGTTATAGAATACACATTTTCCTAGAGGAGGACCCAGAGACCTGGAGAAATGATAGTCAAGTCAGAATCAAGCCAGAGCTCTAACTCAAGATTCCGGATGTCAAATCCCTTGGTCTACAGAGCCCTTATGCCAATAAATCTCTCCAGTCCTCAAATCTGGACTATGGGGTCCTGAACCAAATCAGGTAGCCTCCTGAGTATATGATTCTGTTTTCCATTACTGTCACGAAATACCTGAGGCTGAGCACTGCACAAAGAAAAGAGGTTTATTTAGCTCACTTTTTTGAAGGCTCAAGGCTATTGTGCTGGCAGTGAGGCCTCTGGTGAGGATCTGGTAGTGGTAGTTGTAACATGCAGGAGAGTGTGCATGAGGGAATGCTCATATAAGAGAGAGAGAGAGAGAGAGAGAGAGAGAGAGAGAGAGTGACAGACAGACAGACAGACAGACAGACAGACAGACACAGAGAGTCTCATGGGTTCCCATGAGACCTAGATTAATCCTCTCCTGTTTTCTTTTGCCATGTTGGAGATTGAATCCAGGGCTTCAGGCTTACTAGGTGAGTATTCCTCCACTTGAGTTCTGCCCCTAGCTCTACATTAATTTCTTCTAACAGCTACATCTTCAGTGACCTGATGACCTTCCAGTAGGCCTCATTGAACATCCAACATCAACTCTGTATTTCATTAGAACACTGGGTGATTTGGGATCAAGGTCTCCACCACATGCTTAGGTCTGGTTGGTTTCTTTCCTTTGGCTTATTGAAAGTTGACAACTCCAAGATTCTCATGTGACAAGTGTCTATGTTTGATTTGAGGCCTGACCTTTACTTCCTGCTTCAAAATCTCTTTCCTGTTGAAGATGGCAGGAGCCAGAGTCCTGAAGCCCCTTCCTTACGTGGGGCAGGGAGGCCTCTGACCTGTAAGAAACCATGCCATGAACCAGAAGTAAACTCTTACTTCATTGTGAACTGAGACACATGTGCTCTCCCTGGCCTAACATCAACCCCCACCCCAGCACCGCCCCATGTTCCTTAAAATGGAGCATGTCTATAACAAACTGTGGGAATATTGCTGGTTGGGTATTGAGCAATGGAGAGACACACTGCTGAGCCCATGTTAGGTCACAACAAAACAGTTGTCCAACTGCCACCAACAATAACTTGGAAGACAGACCTTGTGCTGTTGAGGGGAAAAAAAAACAAAAACTAAAACTAAAATGGCTGGGAAGGTGGCTTAAGTAGTAAAGTGCTTGCCTAGCATGCATGAAGCCTTGGGCTTGATTCTTCAGTACCACATAAATAAAAAAAGCCAGAAGTGATGCTATGGCTCAAGTGGTAGAGTGCTAGCCTTGGATGGTGCCCACACCTGAGTTCAAACCCCAGGACTGGCAAAACAACATCAACAACAACAATGAATCAAACAAAAACACCCTGAGAGCTAGAGTCCAGAGGCTCACACCTGTAATTCTAGCAACTTAGGAGGCTGAAAGCATGAGGATTACATTTTGAGGCTAGAGCATGGGAGTGAAACTCCAACCCAAATGATAATTGGATATAGTGGTACATACACACACACACACACACACACACACACACACACACACACACACACACACACACACACAAATAGCCAGCACATAAAAAGACCTGGGAGGGCTGGGAAGGTGTCTCAGTGGTAGAGCACTTGTCTTGCATGCATGAGGCCCTGGGTTCAATTCCTCAGCACCACATAAGCGGAAAAAATAAAAAAGCTGGAAGTGGCGCTGTGGCTCAAGTGGTAGAGTGCTAGCCTTGAGCTGAAGAGCTGAGGGACAGCGCCCAGGCCCAGAGTTCAGGCCCCACGACTGGACCCTAAAAAACCCAAAACATTATAATATCATTAAAAAAAAAAAAAGACCTTGGAACAAAGTTTAGCAGTATAGTACCTAGCTGGTAAGCTTGAGACCTTGAGTTTCAAACTCAAGTATTCCCAAATAAAAATAAAAAATAGATAGATAGATAGATGATATAGATAGATGAGTCCCTGACAACCCAGAATACTTTTCTACCAATATGGAAAACAAGAAAAGTGTGATGTTACTGAATATGCATTCAACCAGACTAGGACACACCCTAGCAGTTATTACAAAGACAAAAGAAATCCCATCTTCTTTCCAAAGGCCAGCAGCTGCAGCCTGTATTATCTGCATTCTCAGGTCCAAGGACTTCTCCCCAGGTGAAAGGACTCATACTCCACATGCTTTCTTATTCATCCTAAAGCCTACTGATAATTGAACAATTAACTGTAGGTACCATCTACCCTCTGTATCCAAAGCTACACTTGCCCATTTCTATTCCTGCAAGGACTGCATCCAATAAGTCTCAACAAGTCTTCATCCTTGTAGGGCCTCAAACAATCTCCCCCAACCTTGTTTAGTGCCAGTACTAGGACTTTGAACTCAGGGTCTGATCCCTGTCTCTGAGCCTATGGATAACACTCAGATATAGCACTCCTACTTGAGCCATAGCTTCACTTCTAGCTTTTTGGTGGTTAATTGAAAGTAAGAGTCTCATGGACTTTCCTGCTTGGGCTAGCTTCAAATCTCAATCCTCAGGTCTCAGCCTCCTGAGTAGCTAGGATTATAGGCATGAGCCACCAGTGCTCGGCTCAAGCAGACCCTTCATAAGCAAATTCCAAGCCAAGTGCTGATGACCCATGCCTATAATCCTAGCTACTCAGCAGAGGTTTGAAGTCAGCATGGACAGGAAAGTTCCACGAGATTCTTAATCTCCAATTAACTACCAAAAAAGCAGAAAGTAGTGGTAGAGCATAAGCCTTAAACAGAAAAACCAACCAAGAGGGTAATGTCTTGAGTTCAAACCCCAGTACTGGCAAACAGATGCAAAATTAAAAAATTAAAAAAGCAGATTTCATAATGAGAGATCCCAGGGGACCCAATTGCAGTCATGAAGACCCCTAGCTATGACAGGGCCATGCTACAGTTTGGATAAGTGTTTCCCCAAAAGTACATGTGTCTAAGGTTTGGTCCCCAGTCCATGACACTATGGGGAAGTGATGGAAACTTGAAAAAGGTGGGGCCTAATGGGAGGAAGTGAGGTCTTTGGGTGTGAGGCCTTGAAAGGGATATTGGGACCCCAGTGCTTTCATCTCTCTTTGTCTCCATCTGTTTCTGTCTCAGTTTGCCTCTGTCTCTGTGTGTGTGTCTGTGTCAGACTCTGTCTCTCTCTCTGCTTCCTGAACACTATGAGGTATTCTATCCTACCCAATTGTGCCAACTGACCATGCACTGAAACCTCTAAAATAGTGAGCCAAAAAAACCTTTTTCCTCTTATAAGTTGATTATCTTACATGCCTTGTGACAGTAATAGCAAAATGACTACCACAGGCCAGCATGGTTGTCCAAAATAATAGTCCTTTGGAATGGCTCTTTTCAGCTGAATGGCCTAATATCATGCATTTCTAGAAAATGTATTACAAGCACTTCTTAGGAACCCCACACCAGCTCTCTTCAGGCACTGGCTTCAAGGGAAAACATGACTTCAACCAGATTTCTCTTTCTCTTGAGAGTCACAGCATACCATTTGAGGGAAACCTTCTCAGTGTCGAGACAATCTGTCCTAACAGCCACCAATACCTTTATGCCCATGAAATCTCCTGATTGGTTCATAGGGTAGGTAGAACTCTTCTGGCGGACCTTTCTGGGTCCTTCTGATTTTCTGTCTCAGGATTTCCAGGGAAGAGAGAAGAGAAACCCTTTTAAATACTAAACGCAATCATAAGAGGATTGAGCTATATTGAGCACAGGATATGATCTCAGACCCAAATTCCTAGGCTTGCCAGACAAGAGTTCAAAGGCAAACACTGGGCTTACTTGCAGAATTTGTTCTCATTTCAACAAGCTTAGCAGAAAAGAGAGCATTTTCATTGGACAAGCTTATTCGAGACCAGTTTACTTGCTCTGCCTGTGCAGAGGATGGAAAGGTAACCAGGAGGATGGGAAGGTGATCTGCAGCATTCCTGAATCACAAA